TAGCCACCACAGTTGGCAGCTAGATTGTTACCACAAAGCCAAAGTTCTGCCCCAGAAGGTGGGGGACTCAGAGGTGACTCAAAGGCTTACTTTTAGTAGATGACACAACTTAACTTAAAAAAGGCTTTAGCTGGGCGGCAGTGGTGGATGTCTCAAAAACCCTCCCATGCAGGAGCAGGAGAGATGGTCCAGCCTGGGGCGATGGCGCACAGCTTCAGTCTCAGCACTTACCCAGGGATCTGAAGATGTTTTCAGCAGTAAGGTCTCTTAGCTCCTGCTTGTCTCAAATTTAAAAAGCCCGATATGTGAGGCCGAGTGTGGCGGCACGCCTTTAATCCCAGCACCCGGGAGACAGACAGGCAAGTGGATCTCTGCACGTGGGTACCCAGCTTACAGAGTAGTTCCAGGACAGCCACACAGAGAAACCCGTCTCAAATACAAACACATAAACAAAATAAAATGTTTTTTTTTTGTTTTGTTTTACGAGACGGTTTCTCTGTACTGTTTTGGAGACTATTGGTCCAGCCTGGCCTCGAACTCATAGAGATCCTCCTGCCCCTGCCTCCCGAGTGCTGGGACTAAAGGTGTGTGCCACCACCGCCCGGCGAAATAAAATGTTGTAAATAGTGGGACTTTCAGTGATTCATTAGTGTTTATTTGCCTGGGTGGAAATTTATGATTACAGAAATTAATATAATTTCTCAGATTGTTAACATTCATAATTTTAGTATGAAGGCCAGTATTAGGACAAGAACATGAGGCTGCCCTAACTCATATAGCTGGGCAAACAAAACAGCCTTCTTTCTCCCCATGTGTCTCTTTCAAAAGTCAATTTTTAAAACAGCCAGAGAAGCCGCCCCCACCCCCCTTTCTGAGGACAGAATTTTGGCTTTGAGGTAACAATCTAGCTGCCAACTCTGGCTCAAATTCCAACTCTGAGGTCCAAAGTCTGACCAAAAACTCAGGCAAGCTGTAACATCTTACCAACCTACCACCATATAGGGCTATTTACTTATTTTTTGTGTTTGTTCGTTTAGACAGGTTCTCTTACATAGCCCTAACTGTCCTGGAAGTCACCATGTAGAGTATTTTCAATGGCAGGGCATGGCGGCACACACCTTTAATCCCAGTACTCAGGATGAGGAGACAGTCGGATCAGGCCAGCCATACATACATAAATCATTGGAGTAGCTTAGTCTGTCTAAATTCATTGGACAGGCTTTAGTCCGGGTAGTCGAACGATGTCTTGATGAAAAGACCAAGAACCTGGCCATCATTCAGTCTGTACGACTGGCTACCTCAGCAGTCTCGATCGTTACAGGGGGCAGGGGAATTCCTAGAGAGCTGTCGGTGTTCAGTCTACACTGGAATCTGGAAGAAGCGCAGCGTAACACCAGGAAGGAATGCCCCAGAAACGGGACAGGAAACTCACTGGCGAGTGTGGGGCAAACAGACAAAGCCAAGCTTCCTTCTTCCCTGTCTTTTTTTTTAAGCCTTTCGAGACAGGGTTTCCCTGTGTAGCCCTGGCTGTCCTGCAACTTGCTCTGTAGACCAGGCTGGCCTTATGTACTGGGATGTGGGACTACTGCCCAGCCTCTTCCATGTTATTCTATGTAGAATGCCCTCAGAAGATTTGGCAGTGAACACAAGAGATCCTCCTTTCTCTGCCTCCCGAGGGCTGGGATTAAAGGCGTGCACAACCACACCCAGCCACACAGGTCTATTTGTTAGGAAGGCACGAAAGGAACCTGGCAGTCCTTGGGCACATAACTACTATTAATACAATTCTGTAACAGCTACTTTGTAGTCTAAAAGACCTTGCTACTCTTCTTCTTTTGAAAGTAATGGCCTCTCATAAATCATTCATGCTTTCTTTTCATTCTGTGATGGCAAAAACCATAAAAAACACTGGAGGCCTCCCAGCACTGAGGAGGAAGAGGCAGTAAGAACTTGACACCAGTCAGAGTTGCAAAGTAAGACCCTGTCTCAAAAATGAAGCCGGTCATATTGCACACCTTTAATCCTACACTCAGGAGGAAGAAGCAGGAAGATCTCTGAGTTCAAAGCTGGCCTGGTTTACATAAAGAGTTACACAACAGTTAGAGTTACATACTGTGCTTCACCCTACCCCAAGAAAAAAACAAAAGAATGAATAAATACTGATATTATTCTACTCATGTAACGGTAGAAACATGCCAAAAAAGCACCCAGAACATTAAAAAAAATAACTTTACTTTTTAAATATGCCATTATCACAAATATCCTGATAAATACAAAATAGTACAGATTTTGTCAGAGGGTTCCATTTCACATAGTAATCATAGTAAAATGTCTAGAAGTATGAAAAATTTCTATTTCTCTCTGAGACAATCCTTACAACACCTTCTTGGAGGACAAGAGATTATACAGATTTGGAAGATGGACAAAGCTGTTTCTATTTAGCCTCTAGCTGTGTTCTCAAATGAAGCCTTCCTCAGATGGGAACAGGCTGGGGTTTCTCTTGTGACACCAAGGAGGTGAAGTAAAATTCAGTGCAATAATTATATCATGAGTACTGGGGTGTGGTGTCTGAGCTGTAACTCTGGCCTATTTATGGGACTGTTCTAGGAAAGAGTCATATGAGAGATACTACATTCTGGAAACCATTTCAGTTATTTCTGTTTTTAAAACGGTCAAGTTTGAAAGTAGTGGTACATGCCTATAATCCTAAAACTCAGGAGACAGAGGCAGGAGACAGGATTAGGAGCTCACAGACACTTTCAACCACACAGGGAGTCTAAGACCAGTATAGACTCCATGAGACTCCCCCACCACAAGAATGCAACTGCCATACAAATACAGAGCACAGGTACATGATCAAGTTCTTTATAAAATACAAACCAATGCAATTACTTTTACAATCTGTTTAAAAATACTTAAGACAAAACAACAAATAAGTAACAAAATGCTCACAGTTCGAGGTAGGCATGTGACTCATTGAAATCCCAGCACTGGAGAGGGGATGGGCAATGTGTAATACAGGATTGCCATGAGCAGGCCAGCCTGGGCTGCACTGTACAGAGAGACCTTGTCTCAAAAGAAGTAAGCAAAACCTCTCTGAGCTTGGTGGCACACACCTTTATCCTCAGCACTCTCCTGGAAGAGGCAGGTGATTTCTGAACTGGAGGTCAGCCTGGTCTACATAACTAGTTCTAGGCTAGCCAAGGCTACACAATGAAATCCTGAAACAATAAAAACGAAATAGCAACAGAAAAAACAAAACAAACCCCAAAACAACAAACAAAAGCTCACATTCATATACATATATGTCTCAGTTTAAAGAAAACAATGAGTTACAGGGGTAAATACTTTTTGTTTTCCTGAGACCAGGTTTCTCAGTGTAACAGCAGTCGGACTGTCTCGGTCTCCCGAGTGCTGGGGTTAAAGGTGTGTACCACCACTCTCAGACAATACTTTTGTATTTTCTCCTGACCACACCACACAAACCACATCTTCCCTTTCTATGTGACTTACAGCATTAGGTTACATCTTTCTGGACCTCAGTTTTATTTTGTTTTCCTTTTCTTTTGTTTTTTTGAACAGGGTTTTTCTGTATAGCCCTGGCTGTCCTAGAACTCACTCTGTAGACCAGGCTGGCCTCAGAGATCCACCTACCTCTGCCTCTCCCGTGCTGGGATCTAAAAAGCCTGAGCCACCACCGCCCAGCTGGTTTTCCCATTTATGAAATTAAGACATTTCCTCTCCTGCCTCCCTCACAAAAGGATCAGGAGACTGACAAACTCACAGTAAAGTAGGATGGTCTGTGGTTGTGTACTGCAGATACAGCAGGTCCCTAGGCATGCTAGGCAAGTGCACCACACTGGGCTGTCCTTAACTCAAGCATGCTCTCCTTAATGAACTCAACTAACTTTTATCCAAGAACTATGCTCAAGGTTTACATACAGAACCATAGTTATCTTCAAATCTGTGATGGGATTTAACAAAATATCACCACAGCAGATTTAGGTTAAAATGATCCCAAAGTAGCTTAAGACCAGACTCACATGAATCAGAGTTGCTGAGGAACTCGTTAGCCATGAATTAGTTAAGTTCTCTGCCCAAGCTCATTATGTAGCCCAAGATGACCTTGAATTCCCATCTTCCAGATTCACTTCCCAAGTGATGAGGTTACACTTGTGTGCACCACCACAGGTTTTAGGTGGGGCTGGGGATGGAACCCAGGTCATCATACATACATACTAGGTGAGCATGTTACCACATGAGTCAATTAACCCAATAATTAAAACACGGACGGACGGACACACGCACACAATTCTGTTGTTATTTGGGGATGGTGGCCCACACCTTTGATCCTAGCACTTGAGAGGCAGAAGCACGCAAATCTCTGAGTTCCAGGCCAGCCTGGTCTACAGAATGAGTTCTAGGACAACCAGGACTACACAGAGAAACCCCTTCTTTAGAAGATAATAAGCCAGGCGTTAGTGGCGCACACCTTTAATCCCAGCACTTGGGAGGCAGAGGCCAGCCTGGTCTACCAAGCAAGTTCCAGGACAGGCTCCAAGACAATACAAAAAAACCAAAAAAGAAAAAAAAAAAAACACACAAAAAAAGAAACATAGGACCAGCAAGATGGCTCAGGAGGTAAAGGCATTTGCCACCAAGTCTGAAGCACTGAGTTCCATCTCTACCCTGAACCCACATAACAGAGAGAACTGACTCCCTCAAGCTGTCTTCTGAGCTCAGCTCATGCATGGTGGTGACACTCAAACACATGCACACACACACTAAGCAACTGGAATTTTCTAATTATAAAAACTTCAACAACATTAGGGCCACCACACTGAATCTGAGATAAATATGAATAAGGTACACTTACCCCCACCTTAAATCCAGACATAAGCCAAAACCAAAAAAAAAAAAAAAAGGGGAGAAAGGGAAAAAAAAAAAAAAAAAGCAATGAAAACCCCACGTCGAGTATGCACGGGGCAATAAAAACTCACCGGAAGCAGAGAATGTGTACCCCCAGAGGGAACAGCTACAATAGGAAAGGGAACCTATTTTGTCTCTGGACTGAATCTTCTTTGCAATTCCATCCCTTCTTCCAACACCTAAGACAGAAATGCAGTGCAGTGAGCAAATCTGAGTAGTGGAGAGGTTTCTGCAGAAGTTACAAAAGTCTTGTTTTTAAGACAAAGTTTTTTTGAAGCCTTGGCTGTTCTGGAACTCACTCTGTGGCCCAGGCTGACCTCGAACTCTGTTATCTTCTGGCCTCTGCCTTCCCACGTTGGGATTAAAGCTGTGTAACAGCACACCCGGCTTTACATCAGGTTTATTTTAAGAGTAAAACTATTTTCAGATTACTGGAATACACACTGGGATTAAAGACAGCACCACCACCACCAGGCTCAAAAGTTACAATTTAACAGAGCAATTTCTGACCCCAAACAAAACCAGCTGGAGGATACACTCTCCTTACTTCAAAACATCTCTAACGCTGAAGATGAGACAAGAGCCCCGAGGAGGATCAAAGGCTGGATTCCACTGGGACGGGACACACATCTGCAGCCCCCAACAACTCCCCTCCAGCACACTCAGGAGGCCCAAACCCGCTCTCCAGCCAGCATGTATCACACTCCACAGGTTACACAGCACACAAGCCTACTGCCAAGTCTTAAAGAAAAAGATTACCTGACAACACGCTAGGCCCCCGAGGGCACGGCACCTTGTGCCAGGAGGAGACGGTGAGCGCCGGCGGAGCCATTCATCATTACTCAGGCTGGCACAGACCACTCCACAGTCTCGTCCGCCTTCCCCCACTTGCCCAGCTCGACAGAACTCATGCCAAGCCCACTGCAGGCCCCACCCACTCAACCCCGAGAGAGGGCAAGGGGAGCAGACGGGCCCAGAGGCGTGAGGAGCGCAGGGGAGTCACGTCAGGACAAGGGATGAAGGACGACGCGCGCGGCTCCGAGGAGGCGCCCAAAACCCCAAGTTGAGGATGGAGGGACGGACGGTGGCGGGCAGGGGGTGGGGTGGGGTCTACAAGTCGGTGTGGAGGCCGGAGCGGGAGGGAAGACGGGGGGGAGACAGCGGCGGGAGAGCGAAGAGCCGAGCAAGAGAAAAGGCTTGAGAGGCGAGAGAGGAGGACGGGGAGGCCGGAGCCGGGAGAAGGGGTGGGCAGCCCGGGCTCACGGAGAAGGTGACAGCAGAGTCCAGGGCGCTGGGGGAGTTGGGGGTGGGGGGAAGAGAAAGGACAGGGCGACGGGTACAGCAACCGGGTCCGGGCCGCGGGGGTGGAACCCAGACGCGGGGCGGGGGAGGGGACGCGGGGCGGGGGGGCCGGCAGGCGGCGCCGGAGACCACCAAACTTTCCACCGACTGTTTCCCGGAGGGAGTTTCAGGCGCCCCGGCGTCCGAGCGGCCGCCTCGCCTCGCCTCCCCGGCCCGAGGGCGGCCGAGGCCACCCAGATCCCCCCCCTCCCGCCCTCCGGAGGGGGGAGCGCAGGGCCTCACGATCCCGTTGGTCCCCGGCGGGGACGCGCAGCCCCGAAGCAGGCCGGGCCCGCCCCGCGGGGGGCCGCCCCTCCCCCGCACGGCGCCCCCGGGGGACACCCCCGATCGCCCCGGGGGGACGCGGAGCAGCCTCGGGGCGGCGCAGGCCTCCGGGGAGGACGGGAGAGCCCGGCACGGCCCGCCCGCCCCCCGCCCGCCCCCCGCGGCCAGGGTCCCCCACCTTTCCTCCTGACCCAGACGCGGCCGGGGCGGACGGGACCTCTCGCGCTCTGCCTTCTCCTCGCCCTCCTGCTTCATGGAGCCATGCGTCTGGGTGGAGGCTCCCGAGGAAAAAGCCGAGTGCCCAGGCGGGTGAGGACGGCCGGAGGAGGCCGGGCGGCCGGGCGGGCAGAGGCGGCGGCGGCGGCCGGGGAGAACTGGAGGTATTCCCGGGGCGGGCGGAGGACCGAGTCGAGTCGGGAGCCGAGTCCTCCTCGATCCCAGCAGCCCCCGGAGGCAGTGAGGTAATGGAGGAAGAATGTAGGGAGTCCTCCAGCGGACCGAACGTCCTCCAGCGAGCCGCCGGGGGTGGGGTGGGGTGGGGGAAACCATAGAGAGCCCGGACGCGCCGGGAGGACCCGCCCCGCTCGGTCACGTGACGGCGGCCCGCACGTCCGTGCGACGGGCGCTGGGGAGCGTCCCGGGCGGCCTCCGTCTCGTCTGTCTCTCGTGAGAGAGAGGGGGGCTCTGCGGGAGGCTCCGGGACCTCCTGGGGGGTCCCCCTGGCGGGAGCGGAGCCCACCCAGCGCTGCTCACCGTGGTCAGAACAGCCGGGCCGGCGCAGGCTTGGTACCCCGGCCAGGCCGCGGCGGAGAGCATGCCGGGAGTTGTAGTCCTGGGCGCGCGACGGCATTGTCCGGGAGGCTGCGGGCGGCCCTGGAAGCAGCGGCGGCGGCTGCAGCCTGGGTCGGGAGCGCCGGCCTCTCCCGAGCAGTCGCCCACGTTAGCAGGCCAGGAGCCGTCGGGCGTCCCCACGCCCACATCGCTCTGCCTGACCCGAGCGGCCTGGAAGTGGGCAGCTTCGATGGAGCCAAAGGCTGCCAGATCCACGCCCGGCCGCCTTAGCTGCCCCGCACCGCGGGAGAAGGGCGGCCTGGCTCGGCTTTAGGGGCGGCCCAGGCCGCGTCTCCTCCCGTCTGTAGTTACCCGAAGCCGCGGAGCACATCAGCGGAGTACCCCCGTCCGGGGCTGCCGCACAGGCTCAAGGGGCTGAGTAGGACGGGTTCCCAGCACCCACACCGCAGCCCACAACTGCCCGTCCAGTGACTCCAGTTCCCAGAGACCGCACACCCTCTTCTGGCCTCCCAGGCATTGCATTCACGAGCTGCGCGTAAACAAAAGCAGACATGTACTTACACTTAGATGTCTGGGTCGCTGTGTGTGTTTGTTCGAGACGCGGTTTCTCTGTGGCTTTGGAGCCTGTCCTGGAACTCGCTCTTATAGACCAGGCTGGTCTCAAACTCACAGAGACCCGCCTGCCTCTGCCTCCTGAGTGCTGGGATTAAAGACGTGGGCCACCAACGCCTTGGTCATAAATGTCTGTTTTTAAAAAGAGGCGGCTCGCCGGGCGGTGGTGGCGCACGCCTTTAATCCCAGCACTGGGGAGGCAGAGGCAGAGGCAGGTGGATCTCTGTGAGTTCGAGGCCGGACTGGACCGACAGCCTCCAAAACAATACAGAGAAATCCTGTCTGGTAAAAAAAAACCAAAAAAGAAGCGGCTCAAGCACATTTTGCTCTTCTGCTGATGTGTGAAGGCAGGCTTAATATGTTTGTCTTCAAAGGACGAAAGAAAAGTTTGTTTGTTTGTTTGTTTTAAAGCAAATCATGGGCTGGAGAGATGGCTCAGAGGTTAAAAGCACTGGCTGCTCTTCCAGAGGTCCTGATTCAATTCCCAGCAACCACATGGTGGCTCACAACCATCGGTAATGGGATCTGGTGCCCTCTCCTGGCCTGCATGCCAGAACACTGTATGCATAATAAATAATTTTTTTTTTTTTGGTTTTTCGAGACAGGGTTTTCTCTGTATTGTTTTGGAGGCTGTCCTGGAACTCACTCTGTAGACCAGGTTGGTCTCGAACTCACAGAGATCCGCCTGCCTCTGCCTCCCGAGTGCTGGGATTAAAGGTGTGCGCCACCAATGCCCGGCTAATAAATCTTTTTTTTTTTTTTTTTTTGGTTTTTCGAGACAGGGTTTCTCTGTGGCTTTGGAGGCTATCCTGGAACTCGCTCTGTAGACCAGGCTGGCCTCGAACTCACAGAGATCCGCCTGCCTCTGCCTCCCGAGTGCTGGGATTAAAGGCGTGCGCCACCAACGCCCGGCCTCCGGCTAATAAATCTTAAAAAAAAAAAAAGCAAATCATATTTAACGGTGAAGCTTTCCAGCAAACTCCTTCTGCTCTAGAATGCATGATATATGAAAGCATAATAAAGTCTGCTCATACATAATTACCTGAGGAAACTGAGTGTTCAATGCCTTTTGGACCCAAGTAAAAGAGAATCCAGCAAAAAGATGTCAGGAAGGCACAACTGTGATTTATGGAAAGGGAGGAAACTGTTTAAAAACAAAGTGATCTCCACAGCAGTCTTTTTAATTGCTATCACAGACTCGTGTTTGCTGCTATTGAGGCCATGTCTGCCTGCAAAGCTGAATGAAGCCTGTGTGGCCATATGACTTAGAGCCAGAAACAGGAAGCAGAAAACCAGAGATCAGGGGTTTTTGTTTTTGTTTGTCTGTTTTTGAGACAGGGTTTCTCTATGTAACAGCCCTGGCTGTCTTGGAACTCACTCTGTAGACCAGGCTGGCCTCGAACTCTCAGAGATCCTCCTGCCTCTGCCTCCCGAGTGCTGGGATTAAAGGTGTGAAACAGTTTACCACCACTGCCTAGCCCATGAGATCAGGTTTTTGTTTCTCTTTTTGTTTCTTTTTTTTTTCTTTTCCTCTTTTGAATAAGAAGGCAAATTACAACTCTAATCAAAATAAATTTCACACAGTGAAGGTCTTTTCTAGTCGAATGTTTTAAAACATTTCATCTGGGAAAAGGCCTCCGTCTATTGTTCCCAGGGTGGTACTATATAATCATTAAACATCCCACAGCTAGGGGAGATATTGCTCCCTGGTTATCAAGCTGCCAGGAAGTAAATATCAGAACTAAGCTGGACTTGAAATGCTCTCAAAACACAAACAGTTGCTCTGAGCTGGTCAAAGGCATTTTATTGAGGAGTGGGGCCCAGATGCTGCCTTCATCTTTAACTGTTCCTGAAAGGCAGGGGAACAGAAAAACTAAGTGTCATCTCTCGTGCAAGCAGAGGTCAGAACTGATGGAAACAAAATGGGCCCGGGCTGTAGGTCTGTGTGGCACAGCATTGCCTTGCGTGTGGTACAAGAGCCAAGTCTCCACTGCTACCCTGGGGAGAAGAAAAACAGGATGGAATTATGAGCAGGAGGAAGAAACTGGAGCCAGCAGATGTGTCTTCAGTACGGCAAGGGCTGTGGCAGTTCTTGTTTTTCGTGTGCAACATAAAAACCCCACTTCTATCCCCGAGTGCTGGGATTAAAGGTTTATGCCACCACCTTTCAGCAATGTAACACAGAAATCCAATCTAATCTAAATCCAATCTAATGGAAAGGGGGGATGTCCGAAAGCCGAGTGGCACCAGCGCTCGGCCTGGCCCTGACAAGTTGCCCGAATCTACTGTGGCATGACTGTACTACTTACCAGAAAAAAAAAAAACTGTCCCCTGTGGTAGACACCACACCAATGTTTGGCTTTCCGTCATTTCTTACCTTGAATGTTAAGACTATGGTGTCACAATTAAGAGAGTTCACCTTGGAATCAGATTTCGTGAATTCAAGTTCCAGCAACCTGACTCTGAATTTCTGTGAGTATGCTCATGTGTTACGGAGTCTGGCTTACCATTTGTAGAAGAGGCTGGAGCAAAACCTACCCCAAAAGATTACTATGAGATATTATCTATTTTGTTTTGTTGTTGTTTTACAACCTGCCACCGAGCCCAGATTGGTCTCAAACTACATGTGTTATCAAGAACGACTTTGAACTCCCGATTCTCTGGTCCCCACCCCGTATCTGCCGTGATTACAGCTGTGTACCTCGTGTCTGGTTTTTCATGTGGTACTGAGGCCCCCAGGGCTTTGCAGATGCTCAGCTGGCACTCCACCAGCTGAGCTACATGCCCATCCCCAGTGTTTTCTTATTGGTTTATTTCATTTTCTATTATTTATTTATTTGGCTTTTTAAAAATATTTACTTATTATGTATACACTATTCTGCCTGCATGTATTCCTGCAGGCCAGAAGAGGGCGCCAGATCTCATTACAGATGGGTGTGAGCCACCATGTGGTTGCTGGGAATTGAACTCAGGACATCTGGAAGAACAGTCAGTGCCCTTAACGCGCGAGTCATCTCTGCAGCCCCCGCATATTTGGCTTTTAAGAAACACTTTTACATTATTATTTTTATTTTGTGTGCGTGTTTTATCTGCATGCATGCACATGCAGCACATGCATGCTGCTGTGGTCAAGGAGTTCAGAAGAGGACATGGATCCCCTCAGCTGGAGAAGTAGTGGGTGGGTGCTGGTCCTCTGGCCGGGCGTTGGTGGCGCACGCCTTTAATCCCAGCACTCGGGAGGCAGAGGCAGGCGGATCTCTGTGAGTTTGAGACCAGCCTGGACTACCAAGTGAGTTCCAGGACAGCCTCCAAAGC